GGGGGGGGGGAGGATGATAACAACCTGTACGTCTGGTAATCGCTGTAAGTTATTGTCGACCTTTTGTGCATTCCAACCCGTTTATCATTCTAAAGCGAAGAAGTTAAATCCATGAGCGCATCTCGAAGAGAAAAATGTCGGGCATTGAGGCTTTATTCTTTGCCCTTTCAGCCTTTGTCGGATATTATTACTCGATTGATTGCTATGATTTTCTTCAAAAAATCTCTATTTATATTTTGTGTAGGTGCTTTGAACCTGTTGTGAGAGACAATGAATTTAAGGTCAAATTTTAAAGCACTTACCCACCACCATTACACCCACTTACAGCTAGCGATTTGTTTACCGCCTCGCTTGGTTGTGGTTGTTAACTTGTAGGGTTGTTATCTGCCTCTATCCATTGATGACTGCAGGGCAATTCTTTTGCCATCCTGGAAACCGATATTTTATATTTTAGGCGTATTTTTTGGATAATTGACCTTTTTGTTGAGCATAAGATGAGGGCTTTCCATTGTTAGCATATGAGCAAGATTTTGATTATGTTTTTTTGTTGTTTTTTTCCCTAAGTCACCTTCTACTAGGCTCTGTTCGGACCATGAAACATAAAAGCTTTTGAAATTCTTCCGTAGCTCCGCGTTGCATTGAGCGGAGTATGGGTTAGGAAAACAGTATTTAAGAGAAAAAACACTTTGCAGAACCTCGTGTAGATAGCTGAACTGACCTCCTTCAGATCGTTTGTTGCAGGTTTGTTTGTTCGATGAGATACTACTATTTGAATTCAATCGGTTGAGCTTTAAATGAGTGACATAATTTTATTTATTATCTTTATTCCCTGAAAACCATTGTAATCGTAAGTGTTGCCCTTATTCTGTCTTTACTCCGAATCGTCGGATTTTACCATACTATCTCCTTTCTTTTGTTCAAGGATCTTTCGTTTTTATCTCTACAATAAGACTGATGTGAAGTGAAATTACTCTAATTGACGGTGTAAACTTTATTAGGTTTTGCTACTTAACTGTTGTTTGTTCTTTCTGTTCTTCGTTCACATAAAGTATTGGAAAACATCGAAATGTTCATTAGTCCTTATTGTGTAATATGAACACGAAATATATCACATTTCCATATATAGCGCTTTTAATGATGTTAAGTAATTACCAAAAAGTCGAGTCGGCATTACTAAAGTGCATGGCTCGCAGATTGATTGCATTCATACTAATGGCTGCTTTCAGACCTCAACGATTCGTCCGTCCGTCCGTCCGTCCGTCCGTTCAGCGCGTGCTGCGACGGCGGCGCCTGACCGTTGTTGACAACACTGGATCACGTGCCAGCGCTGTCAACACTACTCTAGCGACCGCCGTCGCAGCACGCGCTGACGGTCGTCGGACTCTGAAAGTAGCCAATCGTTTGTGGCGATGCAATCGATTCGGTGCTTTCAGAGTTCAACGACATGCCGACCGACCGACCGATTGCGGCGGCGCTGGCCGCATGTTGACAATGCAGGACAGTAATGGACCCAATGGACACGTCCTAACAAGTCACGCGGTCTTTAACGCAATCTGACCAGCGTTGTCAGCACGTAACCAGTGCCGCTCGGTCGGTCGGTCTCTTAAGTCTGAAAGCAACCGCTCACGTGGCTTTGAAGGCAACCTGCCCTGCGTTGTCAACACGAGGCCAGCAACGCCGTTGGTCGGTCGGTCCGTCGATCAGCATGTCGTTGAACTCTGAAAGCCCCCATCGACGGCCAGCGCAAGGCAGACGCGGGCGTGTGCGTCCATGGTATGAATGCAACCTTCCTGTCTTAGCATGACTTACGAAATCTTTGCTATTTACGCAAAACCTCAAATGCTGGGGTAAAAAGGTCTGGTCAGCATACACCGACACCAGGCCTAGGTTACGTCCAGAGGTTGCAGATGCATGGTAGCCTTTAAAATGAAATTGGAGTCGTGCATTTAAGTCTGGTCGACGCCTTCTGGCTAACTGTTACTTTCTTTTTCCAGAGATGATGCATATTTGCTGTATCTGTTACGGGTTATGTAGCGACAGTGATGGTCGCCGTGCTAAAAACAAGCAAACTTTGCTAATATTACTGAGTATAATGTTGGAGAAGAATGTAGTGACAATACCACAAGCCCAAGATTTGTATGCAAACGTAAACCGTTCACAACTCATCTGCAAAAGTCATTACCAAGAAGCGGTGAGAAATTTTTGAAAATTGAAATTTCAAAGAAAATGAAAGCTCATCACAGGTGTCGTATATCGGCGATGTCGTGAAAGAATTATGTGGAGGTGTTGTAAATGACTTTTTCATCGTACAGTGTGCTGTAGACGAAGTTGTTGCTCGTTTTGAACCGCACCGTCAAGCTATTGATGTAAGCTTTTAGGTTATTTTCGTTTCAAAAGCTTCACTGATAAAACTGTTGTTCAGGCCAGTTTGCGGCTGAAAGCCGGTCATCTTGCTTTATTCTATCGTGACCATATCAAAAGTGATTGGATCATATCAGTTTTGTCTCAAAAAGGGAAATTCTCCCTTGGTAGCTTCTCCGTGGACAGCATTAAGAATGCTAAAGCAAAGGAAACGACCCAAACGACCAATGATCTGTATGGAACTGCTGAATGTGATGAAAACCAACCGTCATCTTCGTCCAAGAATTCATTAATAGAGTTAATGACAACTCCATGTGACTCGTCAACAGATTCCCAAGCCTTTCCCGAACTGAATGAGACAGACCCCAAGCTGCTTGATCAACCTTTTGTCATAAAAGGAAAACAGCTACTAGAGCTATTTCGCTTTTGTCCCTCTTGTGGAGCGAAAATATCGGATTCGAGGCGATGTGTGAGTCTGACAGCTGTTGGGACCTCCCCTATTGTACACTATATCTGCACGGCTTGCTCTCCATTTGAAAAACGTTTCGAAGGCCAGAAAGAAGAAAACTGTCCTCCGGAAGAGACATCCTTCATTAACAGCGTGAAAACTGTCGCGGATGCACTGACCATGATTTCTCAATGCGGGGTATGTCGAAGTTTGATGTTCTACAGTTTTCTGTCCTATGAATTTTCTGGAAGTTACAGGAAGATGACTTTGTCAGTGAATCGCTCAAACGCGTTCGACCGGATTCTGTGAATCGGTTGGATGAAGAAGAAGAAACCAACGACATCCAAGATGTTTTACCAGGTCCGATGAATCCGCCTAAGCCTCAAAAGTGGAATGATCATCCTCCGGAGAAAAGGTTCTTCACTGATTACTCAAACTTATCACTTATTATAATCATAAGGAGCCTGTTCGGTTCTGCACTGGTTCTATTTCAGGACCAAAGAGGAGGACAGCGATATGGTGCTAATAGACGATGATTGCGGAATCGCATCAAGCTTCTCTCCGTTGTTCCAACAAGATCCCGAGGAAAAAAAGGTTGATTTGGTAGACAGATGTGATCTGGATGTTGATAGGAAGGACAGCCAATTCGTAGAGCAAGGTGTTTTAGTTGAAACATTGCTTGGCTGCTCATCTAATGGAAAATCAACAGAAGAGGTAAGTGCAGCAGTACAGAAGTAGTTGTTCAAGATTCGAATTACACAGGAAGTCTTTCAGGAACCTGAAGCCGAATTGTCACTTTACGATAGCAGAATAACCCCTGTTCCACAGCTTTATCGTTATCAGAATGGGAAGGTAGCAAGGATTGGGTAGCAGGAAAGGCAAGACATCAGCGGGTCAGCAGTTCATGATATCATTGTCACAGCCGCTACCATTATACAGAGTTGTGCATATATAATACGTTACCTCATATTTCTATTAATTACAGAGCTAACACTATTATTTTTATTATTTACAGTGCTAGCACTTGTTAATAAACAATTTCTTACGATATAATTATGTTATCAATAGGTAAACAATAGTTGTTATTTTTAGCCCTCTTAATCGTTAAACATAGTTCTTAGCCTTTTTATTGAGGTCTCTTTTTTCTGTTCATTTGTCGGGTTTATAGAAGCATGTATATTTATTGGCTATTACCTTACCTAGCGAAATCGCTCTTTAACGTGGTACAGGACCGACTGCTGTGGCTTAGGCCTGGTAGTGGGAAATCTGAGATGTGATAAACTGTGCCATCACACCCTCAATTGCGATTAAATGTCATTTACTATGTATAGTAACGTATGTTTCATTGAAATAAAATATCTACAAAGCTTAGTAATGTTAACTGATATCGTGTGTTATACAATCACGGTGTATACTGCATAATTTTTGATTGTATGATGACACCATCCAGTGAGAATGGTCTTATGAGTTCCCTTGGACGATAAAGTTTGGAATACTGGATACAAGTATGGAGGCCGAAGCTGGCACCTGGATCTTTTGAGCAAGTTTTCTCTCCATTTTATTCAAGAAGTTAGCACCCTAGCGCACAAAGTCGTTGATAATGTACATTTCCGAGTCTTTTGATTATTTTTTCGTTCTATCACTTTATATAATCATTTTATCATTGTTAACAATATCCTTTTGGGATGCACCTCGCCCACGACTTTCAGTCAGAAACGTTATGGTTTTCTGAATGCGTATTAGCCGATACAGTGGGGGACGTGCATTACGTGCGTCCGAGGACGCGCGCGGCAGCTTGCGCGGCAAGTTCGTGGCGGTCTGCAGACTCTGACGCCAATTTTCGGAACGCAAACTCGAAGTGGAGTAGCTTATTAGGGTCAGATGATCCTTCTCAACTACTTTACCTCAAATTTGGGCTCCAACATTAGGCGCTAAGACCGTTCAAATTGTTACGAACTCCGCCGCGCAACTTGCCGCGCGCGTCCTCGGACGCATTTAAGTCCACATATCCGCGGTGAACAGCAAATGCAAATATCAGGGCTTTTCGCTTTTCCGGGTAATTAGTTTATTTCTTGTTTACTTTGGTTGTTATAACATACTCGGGAAATACAGGTAGAGATTTAAGCTTCCATACTTGTATTCAGCATTTCACTCACCTTCATCTCTCTCGTTTTCCTTCAGTTCTTTGGAAAAAGTTTCTCGTAACATTTTTTCTTTCGAAAAATACCGTGTGGAAGTGCTTTGCTTGTTGCAGTGTGACCATTTGTGCATGGAAATAAGTGCGATATTTTACAGAAAAAAATGCAGATTTGCCGTTTATGCTGTAGCTACCGCGACGAGAAGGACTGCCGTCGAACGAAGTCCAAGGAAACTCTGCTCATAATGTTGGGTGTGATGCTAGAGAAAGAGAAAATAATTCTGTCCGATGCACAAAGCTTGTATAACGAGAGTATGCGCTTACGGAAACGTATCTGCAAAAGCCATTTTCAAGAAGCAGTAAGTTATTCATTCAAATGTAAAAAGTCCTGAACAAAACAGTTTCATTCACAGGCACAGTACATCGGCAACTTGGTGGCCACAAGATTTAAAATGATTGAAGACGATCTTTTCACTGTGCCGGCTGATATAATGGAAGGAATTGTCGCTCGCTTTGAATCGTATCGTCGTGCCATCGATGTAAGGCTGGTTATGTTAACTTTTTTCTTCCTCTCACCTAACGGATATAAGGGAGGGTCTGGATGTAAAAATTTCTTTTTGCCGTTGCAAAAGGAAAAGTTAGGTCCATTTCCCTCGGAAAGTCAACTTGTTGTAGAAAAACTATTTTTTTATTGAAAAAAAAAACCTAAGGTGTGTGAGTATAGATGAATCGCCATCTGTAACGCAGGCGTTTGCATCGAGGCTAATCGTTGCTCTTATTATGAGAGCGTCCAGGTGTATTTATTAATGAGTTTGATGATTCTCTTTTGAATAGAGCGATGTAGAGCTACGGACGTTTGACAGGTTGCATAAAGAGACCGTTTTCGACATTGACCATCTGTCGGTGACGCAAAATTTCCTTACCACTGCACAAGTTGCAAGCCATCGAGATTGTTGTCGAAGATGTCTGCAACTTGGTCTGTATTTCGGTAACTAGCGAATTCAGAGTTGTTCGCAGATTTTTCTTGACAAAATTGGTGGGGAATATGTGAAACCTTCGGAAAAAATTCTTATACACTCAATTTCTTGCTAAAGATACATTGAGTATTACTTATTACTACTTAACGTTAACAAGTCAGTGCGACAGGCAGCTGAAAATGTAGTTCTTCAGGCGAAGTTCGTGCTGACACCTTTCCATCTGGCTGTGTTTTATCGCGTTTTCAATGAACATGGTACAGACGTATCCGCTGACTCTCAGGAAATGAAGGAGCCGCCACAACTCCGTTCAGTGAAGAAAGAATCCCCATCTACTTGTGATGCAGAACAGCAGGTACTGCTCAATATATTTGGATATCTGAAAAGAAATCTTGTCGCCACGCCTAAAGTTTTCAAAATTGCAGCTGTCGATCTCAATGTCAGTTGATGATCGAAAAGAGGAATCCCAAGGTATTATGGAGTTGGATGAAACAGACCCGAAGTTGCTCAGCCAGCTTTTCCAAATAAATGGATATCAGCTGCTGAAACTTTTTCGTTTTTGTCCTTCTTGTGGTTCCAAAATATCATCGTCGTTGCGACGAGTAAGTCTGACTGCTGATGGAACAAATCCTATTGTGCACTACATCTGCACAGAATGTTTCCCTTATGAGAAACGTTTTGAAGGACAGGAGGCAGCTTCTCATTCACAGGAAGGGATATTTAGAGGCGCTGGTAAAACTACTGCGGCAACCATAGCGGATGATACACACTATGAGGTATGTTACAAGGTGTTAGTTCTTGGAATCCACTCTAAGGATTGCTCTTAGGTAATACCAAAGTGGGCTGACGATGACAACAACGGGGAAGGGACCAGTTCGCTTCCGGAAAAACGGTGGGTAACATTTATGTTGGAGTTCCGTCCAAAAATCCACAACGCGCGGTTCGTTATGCTTTATTTCAATCATTTTTTATTACGAGATTAATTACGATATCTTTTTTTCTTGATTATGCGGTTCAATACCTTCTCTTCATCAAGAGCTCACCAACTCCTGGGATTTCTATTGTCTGGAAGTCAACAAATTGCCGATCACAGTAAAATCGAGCACACCTAATCATCTTAGTCATGTAGTGGAGTAGCAATAGGTGCCATATCATGCATTCATGGGTTGGGGATTAAATCCGCGATCGATATCCCCGTAGGCCAACCAGTCCCCTGTATCTTCCCGGGATCTTTGATTGGTGCCCGACTCTTCAGAGAGAATAAAAGCTCTATTTCGTATCGCGTGGCCACTGCAAGTCATTTAACCCATTGACGA